CTCATTCCCTCCCACAGAGTCTCTACTGCAGACTCTCCACATGGACGTGTGGGGCCCAGCCTGCGTCTGTGGACAGGGCCACAAATGGTACTTCCTGCTGGTCGTCGACGACTATATCCGTTACACCACGGTCTTCCCCTTGCACCGCAAGGGGGAGGTCCCTAATGTTTTGATCCCCTCGATCCGCACTGTTCGTCTCCAGCTCCGCGAGCGGTTCCACCCGGACTTTCTTGTCCTGCGTCTGCACTCTGACAGGGGTGGTGAGTTCTCCTCAAACCTCTTTGCAGCCTTCTGTGCGGAGCACGGAATCCGCCAGACGTTCACGCTTCCGGCCTCTCCGCAGCAGAATGGGGTTGCTGAGCGCCGCATTGGCTTAGTCATGGAGGTCGCTTGTACCTCCATGATCCATGTGGCTGCCCCCCATTTTCTGTGGCCGTTTGCGGTGCGGTACGCCACGCATCAGCTCAACCTCTGGCCCCATGTCTCCTTGCCGGAGACCTCGCCCACTTTGTTGTGGACGGGGAAGGTTGGTGATGCGTTGCATTTCCAGGTCTGGGGCACTCGTGCCTTTGTCCGCGATACCACCGTGGACAAGCTCTCCGCTCGCGCCATTCCCTGCGTCTTCCTTGGCTTAGTCCCTGACGCGCATGGCTGGCAGTTTTACGACCCCGCCTCGCGCCGTATCTTTCCGTCTCAGGACGTCACCTTTGACAAGTCGGTCCCCTTTTACCGTCTCTTTCCCTACCGCACTGCCCCTCGCCCCACCCCCCCCCCCCCCCCCCCCCCCCCCCCCCCCGCCCGCCGCTCTTTCTCGCCCTAGGTCCTCACCAGGTAGACCCCCTTCCCGCGCCAGGTCTTGCTCCTTCAGGTGTTTCTCAGGTAGACCCTCCCGTGCCTGCGCCTTTTGAGGTCACTGGTGACTCAGGTCCTGCTAGGGGTGGTGCTGTCATTGGGGATGTTGGGCGTGGGGGTGCGGAGCTTGGGGGTGCTGAGCTTGGGGGTGCTGAGCTTGGGGGTGCGGAGCCTGCGCGAGAGGACCTAGGAGGTACTGAGCCGGGGGGTGCGGAGTTTGGAGGTGGTGAGCCCGGACGTGAGGAGCCTGGGGTTACGGAGTCTGGGGGTGCGACGCCTGAGGGTTCTGAGTCTGCTGTTGCGCAGTCTCCTTGGATTAGCCGCCTTCGTCTGCGTGTGCCTCTAACCTCACAGCAGCTACATGAGTGGTACGGTCGCCGTCAAGGTCGCGCTTCTGGAGCTCGGGGCTCTGCTGCTAGAGGTACTTCTGCTGACGTCACTGGAGCTGAGAGTGGTGCTGGTCCTTTGTCTACTGGAGGTGCTGGACTCGCTGGTCCCGGAGGTGCTCGTCCTGGAGGTACTGGAGCTGCTGGGGCTGGAGATCCTGGGTCTAGGGGTGCTCCTACTGGAGGCACTGGGGCTGGAGACCCTGGGCCTGGCAGTGCCGGTTCTGGGGGTGCTGCAGCTGGTGGAGCTGGTCCGGGAGGAGCTGGCGCTAAGGGTTCTGGAGCTGCTAGAGGTGCTGGAGCTATTGCGGGTTCTGGAGCTGCTGAAGGTGCTAGAGCTGGTGAGGGTACTGGAGCTGCTAGAGGTGCTGGAGCTGCTGGTGCTGGTGGCACTACACAGCCGTGCCTGCTCTTCGCTCCGCCGTCTCCGTTGTCTTAGCCATGGCCTGGCTCTGCGCTTCGCCAGGTTCTCAGTCTCTCTTCATATGCTGGTCTTCCGTTACATCCTGGCTCGCCGCTGCCTGCTCCTTCTCCTTATACTGAGCAGACAGGGGGCCTTGCTGAGCATCGTCAGCCTGCGTCGCGTCCTGCCTCACCTGTCCGTTCTGGTCGTTCCAGTCGTCGTGTTCCTCGTCCGCGTCAGCCGGCTGTCCCCGGCACCCACCTTGTAGTCCGTCGTCCTTCCTCTCCTCCGCAGCGTATTCCTCTGCCTTCTCCCCCTCCGTCATCTCTGCCTAACATTCCGGACCCTGAGTCTCACCATTTTTGAACTGAGCACCCTACTGTCACGCGTCTGTTAGCCAATGTGGTCACTGACCCGTCGTTTGAGTCCACTTCTGTGTCTTCCCTAGTCGCTGAGCTTGTCGACTTTGCTGCTGCCTTTTGTCTAGACTACGCTGCTAGTCTTATTGCTGAGTCTGAGTCTGTCCGTCCTCCGTCCGTCTGGGGTGAGTGTGCTCTTAGCACGAACGTCCTTGAGGACACGCAGGAGGACCTTGAGTGTCTTGCGGCCGCTGCGCCTCATCTCGTGGCCATGCTGCTTGCCCCTGAGGTAGACCCGGATGCACCAGACATCCCGACCCCGCGCTCTTACGCTGAGCAATCACGGGTGAGTACTCTTCTCAATGGCAGTCAGCCATGGATGCAGAGATGGCATCCTGGAAGTCCACAGGCACCTACGTCGATGAGGTTCCCTCTCCTGGGGCGAACATCGTCGACGGCATGTGGATTTTCAGGGTGCAGCGGCCGCCAGGTTCTCCGCATGTCTTCAAGGCTCGTTACGTTGCTCGAGGCTTCAATCAGCGAGAGGGAGTTGACTTTTTCCGGACCTTCTCCCCCACCCCGAAGATGACCACTCTTCGGGTACTGCTGCATATTGCTGCTCAGCATGACTACGGGCTTCACTCTCTTGACTTCAGCACAGCTTTCTTACAGGGCAGCCTGCACGAGGAGATCTCGATCACAACGTTACCACACATTCTGAGCACAAGTTCAAAGGCCATAAGGCTAGTTCACATGCAAGATTATATATAAAGGTAAACAAGCAAGTGCAGGTATAGAAAGATCATAGTACAAGCAAGGTCAAGAAGTGAGCAAGTGAGGCCAAGTAGGCACAAGTCCTAGCATCGTACAGAAGCGCTCATGATCACAAGGCGGAAGTGCCTTGGTGAAGATATCAGCTGTGTTGGCCTCAGAGGCCACGTAAGCAAGGCGCAGCTGACCACGCTGCTACAGCTCACGAGCAAGGAAGTAGCGGAGAGCAATGTGCTTCGTTCTGTGCTCTAGTCTGTGCTCCCGACACAAGGCCAGCATGGCCTTGTTGTCTACGTACGGAAATAGAGGAGAACGAGGCGGCTCTCCTAGGTCAGTCAGCAGGTAGGTGAGCCAGCGTAGCTCCTGTGCAGCCATGGCCCCCGCGTAGATCTCAGCCTCACAGCTGGAGCCGAGAACAGAAGACGAGCGAGTAGACCGCCACAAAACAGAGCCGGAGCCAAGGTTGAAGGTGTAACCCTGTGACGACTGCTGCGTAGCGTGGTCGTCAGCCCAAGAAGCGTCTGCGTGACCGGTGAGGACCACTCGATGTTGCCCTCCAAGCACTAGCCCAATGCTCGACGTACTGCACAAGTAGCGCAACACCCTCTTCGCTGCAGCCATGTGCTCTGGTCGGTGTCTCCCAGGAGCAACATAGCGTGCCAAGATGCTAAGAGGGTGTGCAAGGTCAGGTCGTGTGCAGGTCATCAGGTACATGAGGTAGCCAACAAGCTCTGGGTATGGGCCACTCGGCTCTACGGACTCATCCGAAGGCAGAGCTGAGAGCGAGTGGCGAGTAGACAGAGGAGTGGCCTGAGGCGAGGAGTACATGAAGTCGAAGCGCTGAAGGACCCGCTGCACCATGTGTGACTGAGTCAGGGTAATGGTGTGTTGTGCTCTGTCCCGGGTGATCTGCAAGCCAAGGTAGCTGCGCAATTCACCCAGGTCTGTGCACGTGTGTCTCTTCTGCAGCTCGGACTTCACGTGGGCGAGTCCAGCAATGTTAGTAGTGGCAAAGACCAAGTCGTCGACGTACACGAGGATGTAGAACGCCGGCAAAGAGGTGTTGGTGCGCAAAAAGAGCGACGGGTTGGCAGTAGAAGGAGCAAACCCAAGAGCCGCAAGTGTAGTCCTCATTGTGTCGTGCCACTCATGGGGCGCCTGGCGGGGACTGTAGACTGGCCGCTGGAGGCTCCACTGGGTAGTAGGAGGAAACGACCCAGTGAAGCCAGGTGGGCGGCGCAGCCAGATCTCCTCGTGCAGGCTGCCCTGCAGAAAAGCTGTGCTAAAGTCAAGAGAGTGAAGCTCGTAGTCGCGCTGAGCGGTCTGAAAGTAGTCAACTCCTTGCCGCTGACTGAAGCCTCGAGCCACGTAACGCGCCTTGAAGACAGGCAGAGAACCCAGCGGCCGCTTCACCTTGAAAATCCACATGCCAGTGACGATGTTTGCCCCATGTGGAAGAACCTCGTCGACGTAGGTGCCTGTGGACTTTCAGGAAGCCATCACTGTGTCCATGGCTGACTGCCATTGAGAGGAGTAGGGACCCTCGATCGCCTCAGCGTACGATCGAGGTGTCGGGATGTCTGGTGCATCCGGGTCTCCCTCAGGGGCAATCAGCGTGGACACAAGATGAGGCAAAGCAGGAGCAAAACACTGGAACTCCTTCTGCTAATCCTCAAGGACGTTCGTGCTAAGAGCACACTCACCCCCGACGGACGGAGGACAGACAGACTCAGACTCAGCAACAAGACTAGTGGCGTAGTCTAGACGACAGCGAATAGCAAAGTCTACGAGCTCAGCAACCAAGGCAGATGCATCATTGGACTCAAAGGAAGGGTCAGTGACATTGGCCAGGAGACGCGTGACAGTAGGACTGGCAGCACGAAGAGAATGTCAGACTCCGGGTCAGCAAGGATAGGAAGAGAGGACTCTGGAGGAGACGGCAACAGGATACGCAGAGGAGCAGTGGAAGGACGCAATGCCATCCAGTGTGTGCCTGGGACGGCAAGAAGACGCGGACGTGGAGCACAACTAGTAGTGCGAGCAGCGCGAACAGGCGATGCAGGACGAGACGCAGGCTCACGACGCTCACCAAGACCTCCAGTAGGACCAGTGTAGGGAGAAGGAGCAGGCAGGGGGGACGCGGGCGGTAACTGTGACTGCGACTGGACAGGCTGTGGACACTCTAAGGGAGGAGCAAGACCAGTAGAGGGTGGGAGACCAAGAATTTGCTCAAGGAGCGAAACGAAGTACGGCCGCGGCCGCACACCGCCTCCCGAACCAGTAGGGACAACACCAGTACCCTCCGACGGGAGCACCAGCGCCAGCAGCACCTCCAGCTCTTACAGCACCAACTCCAGCACCCTCAGAAGCACCAGTGCCAGCAGCACCTCCAGCGCCAACAACCCCAGCAGCTCCAGCTCCAGCTCTAGAAAAACTGTGAGCTCCAGTACCGCGAGCAGCTCCAGTAGTACCTCCAGCAGGACCAACTCCAGCAGCCCCAGCAGCACCCCAAGTCCCAGCACCTCCACTACCGCCAGTACGAGCACCTCCAGGACCAGCAGCAACAGTAGCACCTCGAGCTCCAACTGCACGGCTCCAGCGCCGGGCAAACCACTCGCGCAGCTCCTTTGAAGAGAGTAGCTCCCCCCTCGACGAAGCACCGCCGGCGGCCACACGAGCAGACCCAGCACCCCCAGGCCTAGCACCCCCAGGCTCCGTAACGACAGACTCAGCAACCCCAGGATCCGAACCCCCAGGCTCAGCACCCCCAGACTCAGCACCCCCAGGCTCAGCATCCCCAGGCTCAGCACCCCCAGACCCGGCACCCGCAGGCTCAGCAACCCTAGCAGCACCAGAGTCAACAGCTACCTCGACAGGCTCAATTGCGTTTACCTGAGACACAACTGACGGGGCAGGACCCTCAGGGGGGAGAGGGTCTACCAAGGGAGGACCTAGTGTAAGGAAGAGCGGCGGCGGGGGGGGGGGGGCGCAGTGCGGTAGGGGAAGAGACGGTAGTAAAGAACACAGCGCGAGGTGGGGTGGTAAAACTGCCAACCAGGCGCGTCACGGGGGAAGCCAAGGAAGACGCATGGAACAGCACGGGGGGACAACTTGTCCACAGACAAGTCGCGGACAAACGCCCGAGATCCCCAGACCCAAAATGCAGACGCATCGCCAACCTTCCCCGTCCACCGCAAGGTGGGGGGGGGTCTCTAGCAAGGAGACCCAGGGCTGAAGGTTGATCTGATGTGCTGCGTACTGAACCACAAAAAATGGGGAGCAGCCGCATGGATCATGGACGTACGAGCGACGTCCATGACCATGCCAATACAGGTTCAGCAATCCCATTTTGCTGTGGAGAGGCCGGAAGCGTGAAGGTCTGGCGGATGCCCTGTGCACGACAGAAGGCTCCCAGACGGGCAGAGGAAAACTCCCCGCCTCTGTCAGAGTGCAGACGCAGAACAGGAAAGTCCGAGCCGAAACTCTCTCTGAGCTGGAGACGAGCTGCGCGGATCCAGTCGATCAACACCTCAGTAATGTCACCCTTGCTGCGCAAGGGGAACACCGTGGTGTAACGCGAGTAGTCGTCAACCACCAACAGGAAGTAACGCTCGTGGCCCTGGCCACGGACGCGGGCGGGGCCCCACACGTCCATGTGAAGAGTCTGCAGCGGAGCCTCTGTCGGAGGAAACTCGGAGGACTGAGGGGCGGCGCGCTGCCGCCCCTCAACGCAGGGAAGGCAGGTAGGGGCAGGCCCCGGAGGGAGGGGAGGGAGGGACCGGGGGAGACCAGAGACAAGGACACGAGAGGCCATGCCTCAGAGACGAGGCAGGGAGGGGTGACCAAGGCGGTGGTGCCAAAGGAGAGTCTGGTGGGACAGCAGACGACACGAGCAGGGAGCAGACTCAGGACCAGACCTCAACGCTGTAGCAAACACCTGACTCGACGCTGCTACCTGACCAAACTCAGTAACCGGAGGAGCCTCAATAGTCAGTGTGTACAGGCTCAACCCCGGCCGACGGGTAAACGTGGCCAAGTGTCGGCCCATGCGAGCACACGTACAGTGGGTCACCCGCTTACTCGGAGGAGTGAACTAGTCAACCCCCCCATCCTGTAGATCAGCACCACTCACCAAGTTGGTAGAGAACGAGGGGAGGTAGAGACCTGACAGGTGCCAGAGGGGGCTGCCAGACACGGTAAGACAGTGGAGAAGCGAGCAAGGACAGGACCCCCAGAGGGGTCCGCCAGGGAGACCGCAACCGGCCGACTAAGCGGCGTAAGTGTGGTGTGGTTTCGAATGAAGGACCGGGAAGAACCTGAGTCAAGGGTGAAGGTGTGTAAGGCCTGAGCCGACGTGGTACCTGAGAGAGCAGACTCACCAGCACCTGGGGCAGGAGACGCACTACCACCTAGAGCAGCAGCCTCACCAGCACCTAGAGCAGCAGCCTCAATGCCCGGGTCAGGCAGAACACAAAGGTAACAGTCACCCTCATCACCAATAGACAGAGCATACATGGCAGCAAGAATAGCATCATAGTCAAGATCAAAGATAGCAGCCCCCGCCGTAGACAGCTCTCCCCAGCGAGGGATCTCAGTGGCGTCAGGGAACTGGTGATGCCAAGCGTCCGTCACGCGGCCAAAGCAGCGCTGGGTGGAGTGCGAGCCCCCGCACTGCTCACCAGCGCGGTCGCCGGTACGGAGGACGTAGGTATAGGGACCAGTTCCCCCAGCTCGCTGACCCCTAGCGTACCACTCACGAAGCTGCTGGGGGGACGGGGTCTCATAAGTGCGCTGCTGCTGCTGGCGCTGACCACCACCTAAGCCGCCCCGCTCCGAAGAGCCACCCGGACTAGCTCCACCTCCTCCGTGGCCATCTCCGCCCCCGCCGCCACCGCCTCCTCCTCCGCTCCCGCCGCCACCGCTGCCGCCGCCTCCGCCGCCACCGCCGCCACCGAAGCCCCCACCCCCGCCACCACTCCCACCACCACCCCCACTCCCTCCGCCTCCTCCACCTCCACCGCCCCCGCCAGCCCCTCCAGCGCCCTTGCCCCCCTTGCCCTTGCCGGTGCGGCGTCCTCCGCTAGGGGGAGACGCAGCGCCGACCGACTTGGTGCCAACGAAGTCGACGGTAGCAGCAGAGGCAACAGAGGGCAAAAGGGGGGAGGGGGAGCACCCCTCAAAGATAGGGGCATGCGGGTCACCTCGAGAGGCTCCTAAAGCGACTATACTCTTCTCAACTGCCAGGAGGCGCTCCTCGAGGAGGTCAACGGTGAGTGTGGTGGGGCAAACAGAGAGGAAGTGGTCCCTAACCGAGCGAAGGGAGTCAGGGAGCCGGGTGACTATGTAGTAGAGGGTGATGTACATGGGGGGGGGGGGGGGGGGGGGGTGGGGGGGTTCTTGGTGCACAACTCAGCAGGAAGCGCAGCGCGGTAGCGGGTGTCACTAGTGCGAAGGTGCGTAACGAGGTCAGCGATAGTGGGAAAGGCGGCGAGGTCAGGAAGCAGGTATGGCAGTATGAGGCGGCTAAGAGCAGTAGTGGCAGGGGAAGAGTAGCATGCAACTACAGCGTCGTACAAGGTCTTAGCACTCTTGTACTGACTAAAGTGCGCATGCTCAGCGGTCGGTAAGTGGCGACGCACAGCAAGACGGGCAGGAGCATCGTGCGTGGCCCATTGTGAGCCAACACTGCTGTCAGCATCAGCAGGCGGGGCAGGAGAGGCACCAGAGGTGAGATCGAACAGGGAGAGTCCGTCTGCCCTATCGCACTGTAGGAAAAGCTACAGGTCATCGACATTGACCTCAAAGTCAACAGCACGACCCTCAGCATCAAAGGTAAGAACACTGGGGGTAGCCATGACAGCAGTGGTCTAGCAGGGAGTGCTCTCACCAGTCTGGGTGGGTAAGGCCGGGGCGCGCCGGTAGAAATAGGGCTTCAGCAGCGGTGGCAGCGGCTCGACAGAGGCAGTGGCGGCTCGACGGCGGCCTCGACGGCTCGGCTGCTCGGCGGCTCGGCGGCTCGGCTGCAGGTGACTCGGCGGCTCGGCGGCTCGGCGACTCGGTTGCTCGGCGGCTCAGCGGCTCGGTGGCTCGGCGGCTCGGCGGCTAAGGTACTCGGCGGTGAAGGGGCTGGGACGGTGACGGGGCCGCAAGAGGGCGGCGGCGGGTCCGCAAGAGGGCGGCGGCGGGGCCGGATGAGGGTGGTGACAGGGCCACAAGAGGGGGGGCAACGGGGCCGCGAGAGGGCGGCGACGAGGCCGCAAGAGGGCGGCACTGGGGGCTGCTAGAGGGCGGCGACGTGGCCGCGAGAGGGCGGCAACGAGGCCGCGACGAGCGGCTGCAGGGTCGCGACGGGCGGCGACGCGGCCGCTAAGGGCGGCGGCGGAGCCGCGATCGGCGGTGACGGGGCCGCGAAAGGGAGGCAACGGGGCCGCGATAGGGCGGCGACGAGGCCGCGAGACGGCAGCGACGGGGCCGCGATAGGGCGGCGACGGGGCCGTGGAGGAGGGGCCGCTGAGGGCGGCGCAACGGGCCGCTAGGGGGCGGCGACGGGGTCTCGAGGGGCCTTGAGAGAGTGGGGGGCCGCTAAGGGTGGCGCGACGGGTCGCTAAGGGGAGGGCGGCACACAAGGCGCGCCTCGGTCAGGGGCAACTCTATACCATGTGAGAATTGAGGAATGAATGAACTAGGAAACAGGTGGGTACAAGTAGGAAAACCTAAAAGTGTTGTGCCCCATATTGTCTACCCCACAACAGCCTACACAGACTATAGCATTTGAGTTTGACACGCTGCCGCTGTTCTTCATCCTCGTGTACGTCGACGACTTGGTCTTTGCCACTGCTGACACTGAGGCTCTCGCCGTGGTGAAGTCGGAGCTGCAGAAAAGACACACGTGCACAGACCTGGGTGAGCTGCGCAGTTACCTTGGCTTGCAGATCACCTAGGACAGAGCACGCCGCACCATCACACTGTCTCAGTCACACATGGTGCATCAGGTCCTTCAGCGCTTCGACTTCACCTGGTCCTCGGCAAAGGCCACTCCTCTGGCTACAGGTCACTCGCTCTCAGCTCCATCTTCGGTCCAGTCCAAAGAGCCGAGTGGTCCTTATCCAGAGCTAGTTGGCGGCCTCATGTACCTGATGACCTGCACTCGTCCTGACCTTGCGTACCCTCTTGGCCTTCTGGCTTGCTACGTGGCTCCTGGTCGGCATCGAAAGGTGCAGATGGATGCTGGTAAGAGGGTACTGCGCTAGTTGTGCGGTACATCAGGCATGGGGCTCGTGCTTGGAGGAAAGGGAGACGTTGTCCTCACTGGTAACTCGGACGACCAGGCTACGTCGCAGTCGTCACAGGGTTACACTTTTAGTCTTGGCTCTGGCTCTGTTTCGTGGCGGTCTACTCGCTCGTCTTCTGTTCTCGGCTCCTGTTGTGAGTCTGAGATCTATGCCACAGCCATGGCTGCACAGGAGTTATGCTGGCTCACCTACCTGCTGACTGTGAGGATCTAGGATCGAGCTCGGAAAAGAGAGTGTGAATTGAATGATTCACCTGGGTACAACACGAGGCTGTATATTGGCTCGACACAAGGCAGGTAACCCAGGTGTTACGGGAATGTTTTGAGGGTCGCGAAGCGCCCCGAACAGAACCTTCCTTAACTCGGTAGAAAGCAATTCGGTGGAAACCGAATAGGCTTGAGTTAGGTGCACGTAACCTGGTTCGGTGCTACAACTATAATAAAATATAGGAATGCACCTAAGAAATGAAGCATATCTATGCATGATAATATAAACCCAAGCTAGATATACATCATAAAGTTTAGACAAGCTAGCAAAGCCAGCATAAGCCGTCGTACTCTCACACTGTCCGACTTGGGAGAGAGGCCTTGTTCTCCTCCAGTTCCGTACGTCGACAACAAGGCAGCCATTGCCTTATGGCCGCATGTGTCGCATTGTTGTAAGCGAACTCTAGGGTTGGTAACTGTGTGTCCCAGTGGCTAACGTCGTCTTTGCAAGCTATGTGAAGTAACTGTTCAACCACCTGATTGAGTCGCTTAGTCTGTCTGTCAGCCTGTGGGTGGTATGCTGAGAACATCGCAAGTTTAGTCCCCAAAAAATCCCATGAGCTCCTTCCTGAACTTACTCGTGAATTTGGGGTCTCTGTCTCAGATGAGTGTAGCGGGGATGCCGTGGATGGCGATGATGTAGTCGAAGAAGAGGCGAGTAGATGCTTCTGATGTAGCTGTGGCGTTGGTCGGTATGAAGTGACCCATTTTGGAGAACTTATCGATCACCACGAGGATGGATCATGTCCCCGTGAGGTCGAAGGAAGTCCTATGATGAAGTCGAGGCTAACGACCTGCCATGGATGCTCCGGTACGAGTAGAGGCTGAAGTAACCCTGCTTTTTTCTGCTTGCTGCTCTACATCCGCTGGCACGTGTCGCATGAGGTGACGAACTGCTGCACGTCTATTGCCATCCCGGGCCAGTAGTTAAGTTTGCTATTCCCGCTAACGTCTTGTTGCTCCCGAAATGTCCCGCGTAAGGTACATCGTGAAACTCCTCCAATAGGATCTGCCGTAGCGGGGCGTAATTTGGTACCCAAATCTTTCCTGAACCCTTCCTTACAGTTTAGTCTTTCTCCCACTGTAACAGCTTCTTGGTCTGTGCTGTAGCAATCTCTGCGTCTATGGAGTACCCATGTTGGAATAGACCCTTGAGCAAAGGGTTCATCCTGTCGAGCTGGATGCTTGCTACATGACCGGGGTGGCTCAACGCGTCGGCCTTGTTGTGTAGCCCGGGCTTGTAGACGATGTCGTAGTGGAAGTGAGTTTCCAAGAAGTCCATCCACCGCACCTGTCGTCGCGAGAGTGTCGGGTGTGACTTCAGGTATTTGAGACTGCAGTGGCCAGTATAGGCTGTGGTCTTGGCTCCCTCTAGGTAACACCTCCACGCCTTGAAGGCTCTGACTATCGCTAAGGCTTCCTTGTCATGGATGGGGTAGTTCAATTCTGCTCCATGTAGCTTCTTATTGAGGTAGCCGATGGCTTGCACACCGCGTCCGTGAACCTGCATCAGTACTGCTCCGACTGCCTGGTCACCAGCGTCTGCCTCTACTATGTAGTCTTTGTCTGGGTCCGGTAGGATGAGTACTTGCGCTGTAGTTAGTGCTGTCTGTAACTGCTCCATGGCTTGCTGATGAGGAGTATCCCACTTGTAGGGCGTATCCTTTTTCAGTAGGTCGGTCAGTGGCGTTGCTATCTTAGCGTACTGCGGCACGAACTTGTTGTACTAGTTGGCAAAGCCTAGGAACTGCTGCAACTCCTTCACGTTCTCCAGTACTTTCCACTTCTTGACGGCTTCAATCTTCCACGGGTCCACGTGTACGCCCTCGGCACTCACCATGTGCCCGAGAAAATACACCTTCTTCAGGGCGAAGTCGCTCTTCGACAGCTTCACGTAGAACTTGTTTTCCGCAGGTTTTCGAACACCTTCCGTAGATGCTCCACGTGCTCCTTCATGTTCTTGAAGAAGATGAGAATGTCGTCCAGGTACACCACCACGCATTCATCCAACAAGGGCCGTAAGATGTGATTCATCTCCGCCTGAAACGTTGCTGGTGCGTTGCAGAGTCCGAACGGCATCACCAAGTATTTGTAGGAGCCGTATCTGGTATGGAACGCCGTCTTGTGGACCGAGTTGTCCGCCATCTTGATCTGCGAGTAACCCGACAGTAGGTCCAGCTTCGAAAAGATTGTTGCACCACGCAGTTGGTCCCGTCGGTCGTCAATGCGCGGTATGGGGTATTTGTTTTTAACTCTCTGTTTGTTCAGTGTGCGGTAGTCGATGCACATCCATAAACTGCCGTCTGGTTTTGGAGTGAAGAGGACTGGTGCACCGTAGGGAGAGGTGGATGGGCGGATCAGTTGTTTGTCCAGTATATACTCTATCTGTTTCTTCATGTCTGTCAGTTCGGTCGGACTCGGCATGGTGCACGTGAGACGGATTTCGCACCTGGTTCCTCCACGATCTCGTGCTCGTGGGTGCATGCTGGAGGTATGCCTATGGGTAGGTCGTCCAGCATTATATCCTTGTACTGCTCCAATACCTCCTTCACTGCTGCAGGTTGCTCTGCGTTCGGCTTCTCCTCCGTTGCTGCTACCATAACCAGTGCTAAGTAACCTGTGTTACTCTCGTTCACCGTCCGTTCAAACCGTGCCAGTG